TTTTCATATTTTCTTGGTACTGAAGGTTGCACCCAGGGCTTCTTACATGCTAGATAAGCTCATTACTATTGATCTATCTATATCCTTAGCCCTTTTTTTTTTTTTTTGTCTTTTTCCTTTTTATTGGTACCAGGGATCGAACTCACGACTGCCTGCTTGCAAGGCAGGCGCTTATGCCGCTGAGCTAAATCCCCAGCCCATCCTTAGCCCTTTTAACTTTTTTAACTTTTTTTTTTTAATTTTGAGAGAGGGTCTTGTGAAGCTGCTAAATTACTCAGGCTGGCCCCAAACTTGCAGTCCTCCTGCCTCAGCCTTTGTGAGTATTAGGATTATAAATTGCCATGTCTGGCTTTTTTGGGGGGGGTTACCAGGGACGGAACTCATAACCTTGTGCATGCTAGGCAGGCACTTTTGCCACTGAGCTAAATCTCTGGCCTTGCTTTGTTTTTTAAGATAGGGTCTCTCACGATGTTGTCCAGGCTGGTCTGGAACTCCTGGTTTAAAGGGATCCTCCCACCTCAGCAGCCCAAGCAGCTGAGAATACAGATGTGTGCCCCCAGGCCTGGCTTCCCTCCTTTATCCTTTGAGGAGGGTACCATGTCCATTTCTCTGCTTGTTGCTTCTCTCCTAGACAGGGCTATCCAACGGTCAGCACAGACACCTCCCTGGTGCGAGTGTCTTCTCAAAGACAAGCGTGTCCACCCGCTGTGCCTATTTGCTACCCACCTTCTGCTCTGGCTGCACCTTCCTGGGCCTGGGCTTGAAGGAGGCGTGGGTAGGCTGGCTGTCTGGGTGGGGCCTCAGAGGCATACTTCCTATAGACTCGGCAGTTGAGCAGATCCCTGAGGGTACTGTCATCAAGTCTCTGTGGCAGTGCCACCAGCAGGTTGCAGGCTAACTCCACAGGAACAGCCAGTTCAGCCAGGATCTCATCGTCCAGTACATGCTGTGGGGAGACGGTCTCACAGCGGCTCTGGGGGTTTCTGGAACAGTGTCTCCCTGCACAGCCTTCCACCCTGAGCACCCCCTGGGTTGCAGCTGGCTCCTCCCTGAAAGCCTACCACACCTGACTGGAGAACTCTGCAGACCTCTCCCCTGCAGTCCTTATGCCACCTGGCCCCCCTTCCCGTCTGTGACCTTCTAGATGTCTGTTCTGCCCCACACAGAGGTCCTCCACCCCGGTGTCCCTACCTCCCCATCTAGGTTCTCCTGCAGCATCTGGAGAACCTCCTGATGGTCAGCTCCATCCAGCTTTCTGATAAAGAACAGCAGCTCCCACCACTCAGCCTGGCTCAGGTGCTCGCTCTCCTCCACATCCTCATCCTCAGGCAGCACATAAGGCACAGCATACAACTCAGTCATGGGCTTCCAGCGCCAGGAGGGTAGCACTGTGGAAAGGGTCCAAGGAACACAGTCATGGTATCACCCACCCAGCCAGGCCCCCAGCATGACACTGCTTCCCCAGGGAGCTCACCTCCACTCAAGGCTCCACTGATTACTGCCCCCTGGTGGTCAGCAGCCTCCATCAAGTCCTCGAGGTCTTCAAAGCCCAGGATCTCCAGCATGTGCCAGTGCACCCAATAGGTGCGGCCCGCTGACTCCCACAACACCTGGAGGAAAGGTAAGGGGACCAGAGGGTTAAGGCTTCGCTGTGGCCCAAGGGTGAGGATCTATACTCCCAATGTGGCCACCTGGATGGAAATAGCTCCAAAAATAGCCAAACGCTGGCACATGCCCAAAGGATACTTTGCTCTTCCAGATTGGCTCTGCCTGTCTTTCCCCATCCTTGCTAGCTCAAGTCTCTACTTTCTACCTGGCCTCAAGCAGCCCAGCTCCCTTATCCCGACCTTTAGGGAAGTCTAATGCTGTCTGTCCCTTGGTGTTGGCCTTCCAAACCCACATTTTCTCAGCTGTTTGAGTGGCTCCTCTTTTGATTGTTGACCCCTTGGTCTTACTTAGGGTATTCTCTTTGTATAGCCCAACAGTCAAGCTAAACCCCACCACAGTAATGTCCTGGCACCATGTGCCCCTCACCTGCGCAGGGGGCACGCCACTGTTGCTTTGCAAGAACTCGCCCTCATCCCCAGCACTGATCTCCTCGTAATTATCCAGCATCCGCACTCGCATGCCCGGCTGCAGCATGTCCCGCACATATAAGGCATAGGTATTGCCACTTGCGAACTCGGTTCGAGTACGGAACCGCCTTGATCTTCTGAAGGAGCGCTGGGCCTGGCTGGCTGGGAGTTGAGGGCTAGCATCTACTGGCTGAGGCTGGAAGATGGAACAGGGGGACCGTGCCGATCTCCCTGGTCTGCCTGAGGCCCGGTCCCAGCACATGGCCTGCACCAGCTCTGAGATCAGGGTGCCCATGGCCATACTGAATTCCAGATCCAGCCGGCCCCTCTCCTCACTCAATTCTGCAGTGGCTCCTGATTCCTGGGCACTACTGTTCAGCTGATCCAAGAGGAAGGTGGCATGTAAATACCGCTTCACCAGGGAGAAAAGCAGCCTTCCTGGCACCTGCAGGATACAACTTTAGCCTCTACCCATCTTGTTTCTGTTCCTGCCCTTCTTTCCACACTGTCCCCAGTACCAGGTACAAAGGCCTGGTCCTTAGATCTCACTTCTGGCTTCCCCCACTTTGTCCCCAGGATACCTGTGGCAGCTGAATGCCCTCAAAAGACATAGGATGTTCAGCCAGTGTGGCCTGTGCAAACAGCGCCAGCAGGGCACAGCGGCTGTCAAAATCCAGGTGCTTCTCGATGGCTTCTTGCTGGCTCAATGACAGAAGGATCTGGGTCCGAGTCCCTGTAACCCACACCCCAATCAGTAACTGCTCCCTAACTTCACTCTTCCCATGTTCCCAGCCTACCCTAGGCTTTTTACTCACTTAGTAAAAATCATCTCGGTACTACTCATTGGGAATGACACGATTTGTTGCTATGTTTCAAAAGCCAAAATTTACTATCTTATTCATGCGCCCAGACACACAATCTGCAGTAGTCTAAACACTTCCTTTTATAAAAAGCCAATTAATACAAAGTTCTTGCAGATTCATTTTCCGTTTTCTGCAGATGTCTCCACCCCACTCCCAACCCGCTCCCCTCCATTTCTCCAAACAAGGCAACAGAATCATGTCTGCCAATGTCCAGTGATCCTTGCCCCCCGCCCCCAGCCCCTCTCCTGCTTGCCCTCCCTCCCTGTGCTGCCCCTTACCAGCATCGTGGGAAGACAGAGCCTGTATCATGCGCCCAGCACTCCAGCGAATCTGGTAATCTGGGCTACTCAACATGTGCATGAGCAAGTCCAGGACCCTTGGGTCTTTGAAGACCCCAGTGAGAGGCTCAATGCTGGCATAGGCGCTGAGCACATGGACGGTGTGGAGCAGAGGGGCAGGAGGGACGGTGCCCACACACTCCTCCAGCTGCCGAAGGGCCCTCTCAATCAGGGACTTCACGTCGGTTTCCATCTCCCCCAGCACAGATTTGTCCAGGGTCCCGGCCTCCACTGCAGACTCCTGGGAGGGCCCGATGACCTGGCCGTTCTCGCCCAGCATCTTGTGGCAGTTGGCATAGATCTCATCATCAGACATCCACAGCAGGATGTGCTCAGCCTTGCAATGCACTTGGCCAGAGCTCCCTTGCCCTTCCTCTCCGCGCCTGAGGATGAGCCAGCGGATCTGGTACTCGGGGTGCCCATCGTGGCCCACTCTCTGCCGGATCAGCTCGTCAGGATAGGCGTGCAAGCCAGGCCCCAGGGGCACCCTGAATTCCCTGTAGCGGAGTTCCCCCACCATTCTGGAGCCTAAGACACACAGGTAAAAGAGGACAAGGTGGAGTGAGAGGGTAGGTAAGAAAGTCAAGTCCATCCAGAAATTATGGAAGCAAAGCCCACACAGCTGCAGCTCTAGGAGGGATAAGGGTGGGCCCAGGAGTTGCCTGCTACAGTCTAGATGGGACCAGGACCAGACATGGGGACTCCGGGTGCTAAATGGCTGTCACCAAGGCTTACAGCTTGCAGTGGGAGGGAGACAGACCAGCCTGGGAGTCAGAGCGAAAAGAGCTTTGGGCATGCAAAACAGCTAGGGAAGGGAGTGAGACCTGAGAGAGTGAGGGTTCAGACAGAGAGCCCCAGCACATGCGGCCAGGGGCGCTTTCTCTAAGAGCCTAAGGGCAAGATTTCCATTCTCCAGCTGGGAGACCCTGAGAACTGATGAAGAAGTGGAGTGCCAAGATGGCCAGCGAGGAGGGCTGGCTGGCTGGCGACAGAATGCGTGGAGCACCTGGGCACCTAGGGTAGTAGGGACACTGTGAGTCCAAGAAAGACTCACGGGGAGCTGCCGCGGGGGGTGGGGGTGGGATGGGGGGGCATGCAGGAGCGGGGCTGGACCGATGCAGAACCCAGGTCAGTGGACAGGGGGGCGCGAGGCAGAGTGGGCACTGGGGCCGGGGTGGGTCTCTGGCCACCTCAGAAGTGCACTGGTTCGAACGCGGGCCTGTCTTCCACGCTGGGGGCGCACAGGGTCAGAGACGGTGAAGCTGATGCAGGCCTGCCCCTAAAGGGGTCGCAGTGGTTGAGCCGATCAGGCGGGGGCGTGTCCCCAGGGCGGGAGAGGAGGGCGCGGCACTCGAACCGGGCCTCGGCAGGGTCACAGCGCCCGGCTTGCAACCTTGGGAACAGAGTAGGCCTGGTCCTTGCCCGCGTTGGGCCCAGCTCTGGGGCTCCACTGCCCACCCCGCCGCTCATTTCCGCCGGACCCAGCGGAAAGCAGGGGGCCAGAGCGCGGGGAGGAGCCCACTGCCACCTCGGCGAGGCGGACTCCTCCTTGGCACCGCCCTTTCCTGTTCCTCTGTCCTCCTTCCCGATACCGGAAGTGCCTTCTCACTTCCCTGAGTCGTACAGCCCGGAGCTTGGAGGTCATAGCCCTTTCCCTTCTCTCTCGGCTGTTTGCCCCTTTTAGCTACGACCAGTCTCCAAAACAAAAACAAAAACACCACCAATGACATAAAAATAGGGCATTTTATTATAGTTCAGGGATATCAGCTTTGGGCAGCAGCAGAAGGCAGCTTCACATAACTCTTCATAGGGGGCAGTGGCCGAATCTTGCGACCAGCCCAGCCCCCCTTGCGATGCCACAGCCCGCTGTTAGGCCTCTTGCCCAGCCAGCGGTTCCGGCCGGCTTTGCCAATGACCCGTTTGTTATGATCCACGTTGGACACTCGGCCCACTGTAGCTGTGCACGTCTCTAGAACCTATCAGCGAAAGCAGATGGGTAGAATGCAAGGGCTTGGGCAAGTACGGAAGTAGGGGGCTGGGCAATGGTGTCAGTGTGACTCTGGGAGGTTGTCACCCTCAGGGAGAGTGTGACATCGTGCAGTTAAGCCTAAGTAGGGACTGCATAGCTGAAATTAGAAGACTCCGTTCCTTATTCCATTCTGGGGGCACTGTGATGAAATGTGCTTAGGCATGTGGCAAAGGGTAGTCCCAGCAGGAAGCAGTTCCCAGCATCCTAACACACCTGGAGCTATGGCTCAGAACCCTCCCCCTGCGCCCCACACACCTGCATCTGCCTCTTCGAGGGCAGCTGGATAATGACTGTCCCGTTCACCTTCCTCAGCAGCACACCACACGTCCCTGGGGAAGGGAGGAGCAGCTTTGCCACCCTCCACAGTGAAGGAGGAGGAGTGGGGTTCCCCTGGGGCCCACATCCCACATGCTGCCCCTGCCTTGCCCTTGGGGGCAGATACAACAAAGAAATGTTTCCATGTCCCCCTTTCCTTCCTTTTCTCTGCCCTTGGACCAGATGTGGGCCATGGGTTCTGAGACTGTGATGTTCGGTACAGTAACCCTTCCATACTGTGGGACCCAGGGCCCTTTCCCCATACCTGCAGCTCGGATATACTGGGCCCCTCGGCCTGGTTCACTTTCCACATTGTTGATAAGGGTCCCCACAGGCAGGGCCCCAAGAGGATGTGCGTCCCCTTCCTGCGCAGCAACTAAAAGACAGGGTTCATCAGTCTTGAACCTTTGCAGCCTCCAGCTCACATATCCGGCAGCCACCTCTTACCTGCAATGCGGCCTATATGGTTAGAGTTTAGGATCACATCGCCGGCCTGCATGTTTTCTGTGGCAATGATCCAGCGTTTCCGGCTACCCCCAGCAACCAGAGCTATGTTTGCTGACCTGTTCAGGATGGACAAGTGAAGAGACAATCCAGGAAGCGCTCACATTTTCTGACATGCTACACAGCAGGTATTCACACCAAAGTTATCATCCCATATCCCAAACTTGCCTACAGGGGTCATAGCGGACTCTGATAACCTTCTCTTCAAAGGATGCTGGCTTGGCACTCTGCTCTGGCCGGAAACGCAGAAAGTCAATCATGCGATAACGTTGTTTGTGGCCTCCACCAATACCATGGACACTGATGCGGCCTACAGTGGAGACAGAGGATATGGTCCAGTTTAGACTAGTTCACCTTCTAGCACTGGGAACAGGTCTGTGTAGGGCCTGAATCTAGTGCTTCCCAAAATTATAGTACAAAGAAAAAACAAAAAAATGTGCATAGCTTACTAGGGTGAGGGACATACATCTATGCAGATCTTAGTAAAAATAGATGATTGCCAACTGGGTGTGGTGACACACATCTGTAATCCCAGCACTTAGGAGGCTGAGGCAGGAGGATCATTGCAAGTTCAAGACCAGTTTGGGCTACAAAGTGAGTTCAAGGCCAGCCTGAACTACATAGTGAGACTGAAATTGTATAAAGTGTCCACATACATTCATTTTGAATTACTAAATTCATCAGGTTAACAAAGACCCATGTCAATTGTACTAAAATACATTTGACTTATAAATTTTGGAAGGAAATTGTCATCACATTTCCTTTGTATGGTCAGTTGTCTGTTGTTTTGTCTCTGGCTCCAATGATATTCTGCATGCAGAAGGAACCCTTTAATAAATGCTTAATTACAAGCTGGGGGTTTAGCTCAGCAGCATAAGCACCTGCCTAGCAAGCTCAAGGTCGTGAGTTTGATCCCCAGTACCAAACAAAAATAAAATAAAACAAATGCTTAATTACATGCCTCTGCCACCTTACAAAGCATAAATGTGTTATACAGGTCTAGGCTCCCAGTATGTTTTCTCCTTTACTGCTTATGTCTCCTTGTCTTTGCTCCCACCTGTGTGGTCTCGACCCCCTGACTTCCTCATTTTCACTGGTGAAATGGTGTACTTGGTACGACTTTTCCAGGACACAAAATTGGCATTAAGGGCCACAGAAGTAAGGAGTGAACGGCAGGAGTACAACATCAAGGTAGAGGGCAGTTGGAGGGCATTGCTCATCACCTAGAAATACAAAGAAATCTCATTCATTTGAAAACTAATTGAAGAAGCCTCAAAGAACCAAGTAAAGGGTACAGACCTCCCAGACATGTCCCAGAGCAGCTGTCCAAAACCTCTATGTCCAAAATCTCCACTCTTCACAGCTTGCACAAATATCAGTACAGGGTTTATCCACGTGTTCCACGTTCATCACCTCTCCTCATTTGATCCTCTCACCTCTCAAGTATTTCCCAATGGAATGTTCCCCCTTTGGTCATCTCCTTCCACATTTGGATCAAAATCTCCTTCTCTGGAAGCTTTTCCTTTCCCAAAAGCTTCTCTAGAATCAGTACCTTCTAACTACCACTGTCAACATCAATGCCTTTTGTCCCCTGCATTATGTTCTGGGAGTTTTCCATCTATGAATGAAGGAAAGAGATTTATTGGCAGACTTCCAGTAGAGAGTACGTTGGTTTCTTAAGTAGGTTAGTTTGGTTTTGAACTTTATTCATCTGCTAAACTCTAACATAGTCGTCCAAAAACTCCAGAGCAGCAGACTTCTTTCTGTAATTCACCAGTTGCCCACTAGGGACCTGGGAAATCTGAGATCACTATTCTTGGAATCTTGTCTTGGATTCTCTAACCTCAGCAAAAACTGCATCTTTGTAGATATCATAATGGTTAAAAGTACAAAATGGGGCATGGGGTTACAAAGCTTAACGGTACAGCAGTGCTTAGCAAACACCAGGCCCTGGGTTCAATTCCCATTACGAAGGGAGCAGCCTCTGAAGCAGTCTGCCTAGCTTCAAGCTCTCCTAGTTGGTGTATGACCTTGGATTGCTCACAGATTTTCTCATCTGTAAAATGGAAATGCTAATGACTATCTTACAGAGTGATTGAAAGGAGTTCATTTACGTATTTGAAATGTTTTTACAGGGAATCCTACTCGGGACCTTGTGCTTGCCAGGCAGGCACTGTGCCACTGAGCTGTATCCTCAGCTGTCTTTTTTTTTTAATCCCCGGTGTTTTGTTGTTATTTTTAAAATTTCGGTAATGGGAAATCGAACTCACGACCTCAGGCTTGCAAGGCAGGCGCTGTGCCACTTAGCCATATCTCTGGCCTGTTGTTTTCTGTTTTCTTTTTTGGTATTTCTGAGACATGGCCTTGCTAAGTAGTTCAGGCTGGCCTTGACCTCACTATGTAGCCCAAGCTGGCCTTGAACTCTCGGGATCGTTTTTGCCTCAGCCTCTTTGACGTGCTAGGTCAGAGCCCTGAGGCATCACAGCCGGTCGTATTTGAAATGTCTATTACTCATGCCTTCTTAAGCATAGCATTCAACGACCTGTATAACGTATGATCTGAAAAGCACTTGCACTCCAGTGTCTCATCCGATAAACGAGACAAACGTACTTATAAAGGAGACAGCTGCCAGGCATGGTGGCCCCTAATAACAGCATTTGGGAGGCTGAGGAAGGAGGATCGCCATGAGTTTGAGGCCAGCCTGGGCCAGTGAACTATACAAGGCCAGCTTGAACTAAACAGCGAGACCCTGTACATTAAAAAAAATAAAGAGAGCAGAGGCCGAGAGTGATTTATCCGAGGACCTGGGCCCGCATGACCCCCGCGACTAGACTCTTTTGCACCCCAGTCTTCCATCCCTGCCTGCCCTCTCTTCGGCGGCCCAAACGGGGACAGCCTCTTTGTCAGGTAATGCGGATTACCTGAGCGGCAGGGAGTAGACGAGGGACGGGTCCAGTGACAGCTGGGGGCGCCAGGCTCAGAGAGCCCAGAGCGCGGGTCAGAGACCACAAGGCCATGAGAGCAGAAAGGTTCCTCAGGGTTTAGCGCGCTACTTCCAGGATTAGCCAGGCTGCCGGGCGCCCCTGTATGACGTCACCAGCCCGGTGTTGTCTCTTTCCAAACACGTAAAGGAAGCCGCGAGGGAACCCGAGGCCCAGCCGGGGAAACGCCTCCGGCCCGCCCAGAGCGCGCTAAGAACCAATCGTCGGGGACTTCTGAGGTCTCGTGACTGAGGAACCGCCCCCGCCCCCAGAGCCGTCAAAACAATTGCCTCGAGCGGCAGCCATGATGGATTTAAAGGGGCAGTACCCGCAAAGGAGGCAGCAAGACCGACTGACTGCAGGTGAGTCTTGGAGGGTACCGCTGGGGCTGACGAATAAAGTCTTGGCCATCTTTTATTCTTGCACTCCCAGATAGATTAACAACCCGCCACCGACGAACCCAACGAAATTCCAGATTCAAAGCTCCGCCCCCCGCGGTTCTTCCCCGCCCCCCGACGTCCAGACACACGGACAGAGGGCCCGCCCCGCCCCCTGTGCGCCGACGGGCTGTGACCTCGGGGTGTCTGGGTGTCTGGTCCCCCGTCCGCGACTCAGACTTCGTCCCTCCACCCACACGCCGTTCCTTCGGCTCCCTCCTGTGTCACCCTGTCCCCACCCGAGGCCCAAGGGCAGGTTCGCAGTGCAGGACACTTAATCGTAGCCCAAGTGCGTGAAACCTTCTGCCCGCGTGCGTAGTACCGGGGCATTCAGCAGTTCCATTCTCCCCTGCACCGGGAGGCCGCTGAGAGGCACCTTAAGGTGATTCCTCGCAGAGTCTGGTTATAGGGGATGGTGACAGAGAAAGCCATGGGAGTAAGCAGAGTAGGAGTGACCAGGTTTTTCTCAGCCTGTCCCAGACACAACCCTGCCCCGCAGGTCTCTGATTTAATCAGTGTCTTCCTTCTTGGGAGAAAGTAGCTCCCTAGGGCTGGAGGAGGGACATCGCTCTCTTTGAAGACCTGTAGGCAGGAAGGAGGGTGTTTGTCCGGGGTGGGGCTCTGTGCCAGGTCCTCTGGGTGGCTGAAGTGGCGAGAGAAAGGGTGGGACTGCCGGACTTCTGGACTTTGGGCAGAGCAGATCCTCCTGAATCCCTGGTTGCTGAGTAAAGTTTCTTCCGGGCCAGGCCTGAGCGCGGCAACCAAAGGCTCTGCTCTGTACACAGGTAAGAGGACTCCGAAAGCAAGCGAGGAGCGAGGCCCTGTGGAGGAAGTGGGAAGGCAGGCTGAGTCCTAGGGGCTGGGAGGTACGTCCTGTCCTGAGGCTATGGGGCAGGAGGACACAGGGTGAAGACCTTGAACTTTCTGAAACCCTCTCCTCTGGGTCCTGTGAGAAAGGCTCCTGTTTTCTTTTCCCTCTCTTCCCTAGTTTAACATCCAAAGCTATTCTGTTTTGGGAATATCTCCTGTCTGCTTTAACCCTGTTCCTTTGGCATCTTTCTTCAATCTCTGCATAATTTCTGTAGCGCTCACCTCCAACTTCCTTTCCCTAAAAATGCTCCCATTCTTGTTCTGTTCCTAAGTCCCCCAGTCCCTCTGCTAGCACCTTTGCTCCTTCGATGGACTTTGCTCCTTAAAGTCCGTTCCTTTCCTTCATCCTAACTTTGCATTTGGTGGTCACTCTCTCTTTGAACCATAGGGTCCCCCATACGCTTGGCCCTTCACCTGGATCTCCACCACCCACCCTGTGCCAAAGATGCTCAGCCTCTCTGGCTCATCTTTACCCATGCTGAACTCTGTTGTTTCTCTCTAGCTCTGGCAAGGTTGTCCTGGCCAGGATGTCGGGCCTGGTGTTGGGGCAGCGGGATGAGCCAGCAGGTCACCGGCTCAGCCAAGAGGAGATCTTGGGGAGCACCCGGCTGGTGAGCCAAGGGCTGGAGGCCCTACACAGTGAGCACCAGGCTGTGCTGCAAAGCCTGTCCCACACCATTGAGTGTCTGCAGCAGGGAGGCCATGAGGAAGGGCTGGTGCATGAGAAGGCCCGGCAGCTGCGCCGCTCTATGGAAAACATCGAGCTGGGGCTGAGTGAGGCCCAGGTGAGAGAGGAGGGTGGTGCCTGGTGGTCCAGAGTGCATATAGGAACAGTTGTCTGATTGGCAGTTTGAGGAGGTTGTTGGAAATAACCTTGTCTCATGTGGTTGCATTCAGTAAATGCCTGTTAAGCCTATTATGTGCCAGGAACTCCTCTGAGTACTGGGGAAACATCAGCAAATACAGTAATTAAACCCTTAGCCATCCAAAGACTGATATTCTAGCTGGGAGAGACAGACACTACACAAATAAGTAAATGATTCACATGCCAGATTGAAAATCACACACCTGCAGTCCCTGCTACCTGGGAAACTGAAGCAGGAAAATCACAAGTGCAAGGCTTGCCTGGGCAACTTAGACTAATGTCTCAACATAAATAAAAAGGGCTGGGATTTTATAGCCAAGTGGTAGACCATGCATAAGACCCTGATTCCATTGCTAATACCAAAAATAAAATTAATAGATGCAAAGAAGAGCATTGAAAAGATGGTGTTTGAGGTGAGTGAGTGCTCCACGCAGTAAGTAGGGAAACTGTGTCTGAGCAGGAAGGGAGAGCAGCAAGCACCAAGACCTGGACATTAAGACACTGGTGTGGCTGCAGTAGAACGGATGAAGGGAGACGCAGAAAATCAAGTCAGAGGTGTATGAGGATTGGGAGAGGGGACAGATGATGTGGAACTTGCAGGTCATCAGAGGGACTTTGCTTTTGCTTTGAGAGAGAGGAAAACGCGTAGAATGTTGAGGAGCGGTGTGACCTCTCTTGCTGTCATCTGGCTGCCAAGCTGAGAGTAGACTCTAGGGGAATTTGCACAGAACAGAGAGGCCATGTGGGAAGCTGTAATGGTTATTCAGATGGGAACTGGTGGGCTGGCCAAAGCTCATGGCAATGAGATGGAGGGAAGTTGGGTTTGGGGTGTATTTGGAAGGTAGAGCTGCTGTCTACTGGCTCTGCTGTGCTCTGCCAGACTGGCCCCCTCCAGGAGGCTTCCCTCCTCCCTGTCCCTGAACCCTGCATCCAGAACCCCAAGCTCACAGGCTGTGCCCACCTAGGTGATGCTGGCCCTTGCCAGCCACCTGAGTACAGTGGAGTCAGAGAAACAGAAGCTGCGGGCTCAGGTGCGACGACTGTGCCAGGAGAACCAATGGCTCCGGGATGAGCTCGCAGGCACCCAGCAGCGGCTGCAGCGCAGTGAACAGGCTGTGGCCCAGCTGGAGGAGGAAAAGAAGCACCTGGAGTTCCTGGGACAGCTGCGGCAATACGATGAGGATGGGCATGCCACGGTGAGCAGGCGTGGACTGGACAGCTGGGCCCATGATTAGGGCAGTTATCTCTCATCCTGGGAGAGTTCCCTTTACAATCCTGGCACCAACTCCAGGTGACAGCAAGAGTGAAAGGAGTCTCTACCCATTCAGCCAAAATGTGCCAAACACTGCACTGCATTGATGAATGGGCAGCCAATGATTTTTCTAGTGGTCATAGGTTTGTGAGGGGAGAGTGACAGACACTGGACAATGCAATCTCCAATCCTGAGTCCTACAGTCAGAGAAAGTATAGCCCAAGTCGCATAAGACCTTCTTGACATTTGCTGTCAAAGTGAGTGAAATTCAGCCCTCATTGAGCAGGCTTTTATGATGATGCATGTCTCTATGCCTTGTTTAGTGAAAGAAATGTGCAGAGGAGATGCAAAGAACTGTGGAAGTAGCCAGGTGTGGTGGCGGACACTTGTAATCCCTGCATTTGGAGCTAAAGTATGATAGAGGCGAGGAAACACTTTCCAGGATGAGGAGAGTCCAGGCTATAGAGCTGGTCTAGCTGGCACACAGCATGAAGCTAGTAGGAAGTTGGAGGCCTTTGTATGAGGTCGAATTTCTACTGGGAAAAGCACATTTTTCTAGGGTGGAGTAGGATACCAGGAGAATGCTGAAATTGAGTACAGAATAGGCTGGGGCTGATAACAGGCGTGAGGCTGAGCTGGACACTTTGGGTACGTGTCAGGAAGATCAGACACGCTCCATCCCTCAGGACAGACGTATAATCAGAGTAAACACACAGGAATCAGCATGGGGCTGTAATTGCAGGAGTTGAGGGAGGGGGAGGCTGGTAAGGAAGGGAATTTTCTGGGTGTGAAGGAAAGGACAGTCCTGTTCCAGCTGAGCATGGTAGCACACGCTTGTAATCTCAGCACTCAGGATTGAGACAGGAGGATTCCTGTGAGTTGGAGGCCAGCCTGAACTACGAAAAAAAAAAAAAAAATCCTGAGCAAGTGTCTCTGGCTTTTATAAACAAGAGAGGCCTGAACTTTGCTGGGCCAGATGTGGCCTTTCCCTGGGGCAGAGGCAGGAACAAGGGTCTTTTTCCCATGTGTCAGTAATTTTGTGGCTCAAAGACACCCCTAAAGAGTCAACTCGTGCCTGATATCCTGCTCCTTCCCTTCTAGGAGGACAAGGAAGGTGACGCCACCAAGGACTCGCTGGATGACCTCTTCCCCAATGAGGAGGAGGAAGACCCCAGCAATGGCTGTGAGTCTGCCTTGGAGTTGGAAGTTAGGGGCAGCAGGAGATCTCACTGTGTAGCTCACTGTCTACTTCCTGTGGAGATGGGGGAGAGGCCAGGCTCCTGCTTTGATTCTCTGGCCTCCCCCTTTCTCCTCAACATTTCTTAAATACTTAATATGTGTCAGGCACTGGAAAAGCAGATGAAAACGATAAGGGTCCTGCTGAGCACGGTGGTATGCGCCTGTAATCCCAGCACTTGGGAGGCTGAGGCAGAAGGATTGGCATGAGTTAGAGGCCAACCCTGGGTACACAGTAAGGTCAAGATAAGTCTAAACTACAAAGCCAGATCCTGTCTCAATAAACCCCTCAAAAACAAAAAAGAAGAAGAACAACAAAATATTGGAGGGCTGGGGATATAGTTCAGCAGCACAGTGCCTGCCTGGCAAGTCAAGGTCAAGAGTTTGATGCCTGGTACAAAAAAAAAAAAGATTGCAGTGGAGAAGGTGCTTCTTTGAGGGCTTGGTGAGAGTGTCAGCTGGACATGGATTGGGCTATGGGGAGGCCAGGTGGCCATGAGGAGAGCAGAAGTCCCCTGAGGTGTCTTCTGTCCCCTCTGTGGGCTTTAGTGTCCCGGGGCCAGGGTGCTGCAGCAGCCCAGCAGGGTGGCTATGAGATTCCTGCGCGGCTACGGACACTGCACAACCTGGTGATCCAGTATGCAGCCCAGGGGCGCTATGAGGTGGCAGTGCCACTCTGCAAGCAGGCACTTGAGGACCTGGAGCGCACATCTGGCCGTGGCCACCCTGATGTCGCCACCATGCTCAACATCTTGGCTTTGGTGTATCGGTGAGTATTGCCCTGTCTGTTAGCACTGTAACCCTCTTGGAACAGGTACCCCTGTTCCCACTGTGGTCTCCTCTGGCTCCCATGCCCCTCTGCTTGGGTCTCTCCTCTAAGGCCTCCCCACTGGGGTGCCTGCTCGTGTACCACATGTTCCTTTCTTCCATACCAAAGCTCAGCCCCAGAGAATGTCCATCTTGCATGCTGTCGGCTTTTCCTCTCTTGAAGAGTGTCTCTGTCCCGCAGCCTTTGCCTGCTGCTTCCCTCGACTCATTGGTGGCTTTTTCTTGGGAGGGCAGTGCTCCACAGCCTGCTGGCTGAGTGTCCACAATACCCTCATTGCCCACACAGGCTTCTGGTCTCCAGCAGGTATCCAGTCTTTCAGTGGACCCCAGTCTTCCCACTGGGAGTTTGGGAAGGAGACCAGCTGGGTGTAGAGTTCAGGGTAATTCCTGTCACTTTTGTTCTCTTCCAGAGACCAAAATAAGTACAAGGAAGCTGCCCACCTGCTGAATGATGCCCTCAGTATCCGGGAGAGCACACTGGGCCGAGACCACCCTGCTGTCAGTATCCCTGGCCTCTCCCCATCCCCACACAGCTCTTTTGGCTTTTCTTAGTAACTCTGTCTACTGTTCTCAGTCCCTGTCACTAGGGGTACTTAGGAAGGAGGCATGAGAACGCCTTTTATTTATTTTTCTGAGATAAGGTCTTACTATGTAGCCTAGGATGGCTTTCAACTTATCGTGATCCTCCTGCCTCAGACTCCTGGGTGCTGGGATTACAGGTGTGCACTACTGTGCCCAGTTTAGAACTCCCTGGACCCTGCTGCCCAGTGAGCCGAATAGGTCTCAGTTCTCTGAGACTCAATGATGCTTTTTCAGATCAGTATTTTCCTGAAATTTAATTCACAGGCAATGTATTCTATTAACATATCTGATTCCACAAATGTTAGCATAATGCTCTAATACAAAGAAAAAACGCTAAAGTAATTTATAATATATCATGATAGTATAAAAATACAGTAGTAGCTGCATTGAGTACAACTGTCCTAGAAGACATAACAAAGTAGTCTGATATACAACAAATTACTCTAAATTTTAAAGAAGTAAACCCAGTAAGCCATCTACATAAGAAGTCTAGATTAAGAAGGAGCAATTTGGGGGCTGTAAATTTAGGTCAGCGGCATAAGTGCCTTGCCTTGCAAGTGTGTGGTCGTGAGTTCGATGGTACCGATAAAAAAGAAAAAGACAAAAAAAAGGAGCAATTTGGGTGTATACTCAATTAAACTCCAGGGTAAAAAATCATAGTCCAGGTTCATTTATATATAAGAGAAAAAGAGAGCTGGGTGTGATGGCCCATGCCTGTAACTCCAGCACTTGGGAGGCCAAGGCAAGAGGATCATTGCATGTTTGAGGCCATCCTGGGCTACAGAGTGAGTTCAAGGCCAGCCTGAACCGCATAGTGAAGCCATATCTCAAAAAAGACCAAACAATAACAATAACAATAATAATACTAATAATAACCTTAGGTAATAATTCTATGTCAGGAAAAATAAGATCTTTTGAAAATGAACTTGCAAAAAAAGAAAAGACAATGAGCTTTGGGCACATTTATAGTTCCAGCACTCAGAAGGCTAAGGCAGGAGGATCACTACAAATTCAAGGCTAACCTGGCCTCAGAGTAAGTTCAAGGCCAGCCCGGACTGTAGTGAGACCTGTTTGAAAAAACAAAACAACGGAGCTGGAGATTTAGCTCAGTGGCATAAGCGCCTGCCTTGCAAGCGCGCGCTCATGAGTTCGATCCCTTGTACCGATAAAAAAAAAAAAAAAAGGCTGCTCATCAAAAAACAAAACAACAACAACAAAAATAAAACAAGTTCATCCACAATTTTATAAATAAATAAATAAATAAATAAATAAATAAATAAATAAAACAAGAAAATGAGCTTCCTGTATGACATCATTCCTTTGGGACAGGACCTGTGCTCAGGAGTGAAGGCATATCCCAGGAAATATAGCTCCTACCTTGATCTTCCTTTAGGCAGTGAAGCTTAGGTATCTGAATGTCTGACAGGTTGTCCCAAAGTTGGAGAGCCAAGCCATTCCACACATGCAGAAAGAACAGCTGAGGTGTTCGCTATACCCTCTGTCTTTATGGCAACCAAAACCAAACCTTTTGCAGTCTCTGCAAATCCCCCAGAGGGTGACACCATGCTCACAGTCAGGGTACCAGAGTCCAGGGCTCAAGGTTCTCCAAGGTCCTTCACTGCAGCAGTGTCTGATCGGAACAGGTCTCCTTCCCTCTGTAGGTGGCGGCCACACTCAATAATCTGGCTGTGCTGTATGGCAAAAGGGGCAAATACAAGGAGGCAGAGCCGCTGTGCCAGCGAGCGCTGGAGATTCGAGAGAAGGTATCCGCGTCCCTTGTGACTTCCCCATCCCTGCAGGGCTCCCCCATACCCTACCCTTGACCTGCCTTTGCCCCTCCCTGCTGTCTCACAGACCCCTCATCCCTGCCAGGTTTGTATTTCTGCTCCCTGTGTGTGCACCTGCACACAGTCATGTATCTGTTCTTTTGTTCCTTCTCAGGTCCTGGGCACTGACCACCCAGACGTAGCAAAGCAGCTAAACAACTTGGCCCTGTTGTGCCAAAACCAGGGCAAGTATGAGGCAGTGGAACGCTATTACCAGCGGGCACTGGCCATCTATGAGGGGCAGCTGGGGCCAGACAACCCAAATGTGGCTCGGACTAAGAACAACCTGGTAAGGGTTAAGAAGGAGCGAAGGGTGGAAAGAGGAGAAGTGAAAGGCCACCTGGGCCTTGGGGTGGGGAGCCTGATGGGCTGAATTTAGTCCACTCCTTTCTTTACCATGGTGCCTGTCTCCGGGCTGCTTCGGGAGGAGGGATCTCCTTCTAGCAGCAGAAGTTGTATAGCTTCCTGGGAGTGGGGTGAGGAGGACGTTAACCCTGCAGCTGAAAAGGGATCCATGAATGGGGTCCAGGGAAGCAGAGCTCCCTGCATCTGGCTAAGACCTTCCCCCTCCATCCCATGCTCTGTCTGCAGGCATCCTGTTACCTGAAGCAGGGCAAATATGCTGAGGCTGAGACCCTTTACAAGGACATCCTGACCCGTGCACATGTGCAGGAGTTTGGGTCTGTGGATGGTAAGTGTGGGAGCTGGCCCCAAGAGACTCTGGGTCGTGGCTCCCCCATACCGAGCAGCTCCTCACCCTGCGTCTCATCCCCAGATGACCACAAGCCCATTTGGATGCATGCAGAGGAGCGGGAGGAAATGAGCAAGGTGAGTGGGGGCCCCACAGGGAGCACAGCCTCTGTTATGCCCATGCCTTAGTCCAGCCCTCACCTCCCCACCCAGTCCTGATGGAGGGGACCCCCAACACCTCTCTCCACTCACCCTGGGCTCCCCCTCCACGCAGAGCCGGCACCGTGAGGGCGGCGCACCCTATGCTGAGTACGGAGGCTGGTACAAGGCCTGCAAAGTGAGCAGGTGAGCTGTGAGCCCAGAAAGCACTCATCCAGGTCTGGATCCAGCCTTCCTTTGACCCAGACCTTACCCTGCTCCCTCTCTTCTGTTGCCTGCTCTGAACCCATTCTTCCTTTCGTGATCTCACCGCGCAGCCCCACAGTGAACACCACCCTGAGAAACCTTGGAACTCTGTACAGGCGCCAGGGAAAACTGGAGGCAGCAGAGATTCTGGAGGAGTGTGCCCTGCGTTCCCGGAAACAGGTCAGAGGCTCAGAGGAAAGAGGTGCAGGAAGGGTCCTGGGGACAGGATGGCCACAGCTCCTTGTGAGTGTCCTAAGATTGGAGGAAAGAGGTTGATGAGGAAGAAAGGAAAGGAAAGGCAACCTTGTGACTGTTTGCTGTAAGTGTGTTCCCACTCCCAACCTACCCTTTAGTGTTAGGGTACCAGGTTCAAGATCCCCTCCATAAACAAGAGTCGAGTTGGGATGGGAACCTTCCCTTTGATGGAAGGACATGGGCAGTGTGGGGGCCAGGGATAAGGCTGAGGGGAGCCCTAAGCCCTAAGCCTAAAAAATCCTGGGTCTCCACCCATGCAGCTGGTCATGAAGTCAATTCTGTGCTGTGTGGGCCATAGCTAGAAATCCACATGCATCTCTAGGGAATGCACTGTAAACAGACCAGGTGGCACCTGCTCCCATCCTATTCTGTGGGCTGAACATTGCAAGAGGGAAGATGTTTTCCTTGTAGCCACTAAAGGAGAAAGAGTAAAAGTCCTATGCTGAGGACCTAGGGAACAGAATTCCTAGCTTCTTTTTCTTCCAGGGCACCGACCCTATCAGCCAGACCAAGGTGGCAGAGTTGCTTGGGGACGGTGATGGCAAAAGGACATCCCATGAGGGCCCTGGGGACAGCGTGAAATTTGAAGGAGGTGAAGAGGCTACCGTGGCTGTGGAGTGGTCAGGGGTAAGTGTGGAGCCTGCTTTTTAGGACATGTTGGGGGCAAGGGCCCACGGCCCTGTCTGGTTAGCTTTTCCCTTCTGGCCTGTTTCTAGCAGCCAGATTTTGCTAAGGGGATTCTTTTCTTCTTTTCCTTGTCTTCTTTTATTGGGGGCGGGGGGTTGCTTTTTTTGAGATAGGGTCTCACTATACAGTTCAGGTTGGCTTTGAACTCACTGTGTAGCACACATTGCTGATCTCACAGTGATCCTCTTAGCTCAGCTTTCTGGGTGCTAGGATTACAGGTATGCACCACCACATGGGAATCTGTGTGTGTTTCTGCATTAAGGATTAAACCCAGGGCCTATCATTGAGCTATATACATCTCAAGGCCTCCCTTTTTAAATTTTGAGAAAGGCCTCAAACTTGAGATCCTTCTGCCTCAGCCACCTGAGTAGCAGGGATTCCAGGTGTACATCATAGCAGAATTCTCAATTTCAATCACAAGTATGGGACTTGTGCAGGATAAATGGCAGGAGTAGGCTCAGAAGCCAATCTGTGTGGGATTCTTTTGGCTTCTGTTGTCTGTCTCTGTCTGTCAGGATGGCAGTGGGACCCTGCAGAGGAGTGGCTCTCTGGGCAAGCTTCGAGATGTGCTCCGCAGAAGCAGTGAGCTCCTGGTGCGGAAGCTCCAGGGGACTGAGCCTCGGCCCTCTAGGTACACAGTGGGTTGAGATACAGCCCCACCTGGCCTTGAACTTTGGAGAGATGCATGGGAGAGGCCAGTGGGCCGGTCATGGAGAGAGAACCTGGGCAGAATGACCACCGTGGTGGAGATGAAGGGTCCATTCCAGTGGGAGATGCTGGTGCCTGATGCAGATAAGAGTTCATGGTGTAGGGCCAGGGCTTTATGTCAGTGGCAGAAGCACCTGCCTGGCAAGCACAAAGTCATGAGTTCGATCCCCTGGACCCTCCCCCCAAAAGAGTTCATAGGTGCCAAGGGAAATGGGGAGGCGGTGATCTGACCCTGTGTAGCAGGACCCAAGGGCCATGGTGCTGGGACCACTTGGGACAAAGAGCAGGGCTCAGTTCTTCCTTTTCTATTGTAGCAGCAACATGAAGCGGGCGGCCTCCTTGAACTACCTGAACCAACCCAGCGCTGCACCCCTCCAGGTGAGAGCCTGGGCCCAGCCCATGGGAGTCAGGGAAGAGGGAGGGGCCTGCAGTGGGGATGAGCCAGGCAGACTGCTGATGGTGGTGGAGGGTGACCACCAAGTAGCAAGGAAGTTAGACCAGGAGGAAAATAGGGATCGATATTCTCTAAACTGGTACTTTGGAAGTATGAATCATTCCAGAATGACCTGGTGTGGTGGCTCATGTCTATAATTCCAGCATGTGAGAGGCTGAGGCAAGAGAGTCACCATGAGTTCAGGGCCAGGTTGGATACATAGTGAGACCCTGTCTCAAAAACAACAACAACAACAACAACAAAAACAAAAACAAAAAATAGAATTCAAGAATGATTTGGAGGGGCTGGGGATTTAGCTCAGTGGCATAAGTACCTGCTTGGCGAGTGCCAAGTTGTGAGTTCAATCACTAGTACCAAAAAATAAAAAATGATTTGGAGATGCTAATTGTTCTTTCTCTTGCAGCTACAGGAAATTTAGTAGTCAATGAGAAGGGAAAAAGTAATCCTCACTGGAAAAGACAGTACACTTTAGTGGCAAATGACCACTTGTCATTGAGCGTATATGCCAGTATTTGTGTGCCTCTTCCTGATAATTTCTCCTCCACCAAGTCCTGGACTTCTGGGAACCCTGGAAAGGGCTGGCCAGGACACTGAATTTGGGGGCTATAGGCGTAATCCTAGTCCCAGAGATGAGGGGCAGCCTGGGCTGGGTGGACTTCAGGAGGCTGAGGGCCCGTGGTGTGACGGGTGATGGTGTCTCTTTCAGGTATCTCGGGGCCTCAGTGCCAGCACCATGGACCTCTCTTCAAGCAGCTGACATCTACCTAGTGCCCTCACAGCAGCATTCCCATTGCTCGGAGTCCCCACTCCAGGGTGGGACAGTGACCCGAAGCCTGCTACTGCCTGCAGGGTCTCGGCCCCTCCTCAGGAAGGACTCTTAGGACATCCCACCCTGGGGTCCTATAGTAGCTCACTCACAGGTCTCCCCAGTGAGCAAGATGCAGCTTGCCACTGGCCTTGCTACAGGAGGATTTGCAGCCAGCCATGGCACCACCTCTTGGCCTTCCTGTTCCCCCCACCACCACCACCGCTCCCCTCTCCCTTTGGTTATTTCACTTGATGTCCACGTATTTCACATTTCTTAAATAAAAGAATCAGGTAACCTTTCTGCTGGTGAGGTTGAGCTGGCTGATTTGAGGGGTTGCCAGGAAGAGTTACATCAGAGTTCTTCCCAAAACCATAAGGGGTGCTGGACGTGGTGGTGCATGCCTGTAATCCCAGCACTTGGGAGGCTGAGGCAGGAGGATCATTATGAGTTTAAGATCAGCCTGAACTACAGGATGAGACACTGTCTCAAAAAAGGGGGAGGAGCTGTGACAGTCTAACAGAAGGAGGTCTCTTCTCATTCCTCTGTTTCCTCCCAGTGGGGCCTGGAGGAGGCGTCTGGGGGATGGGGAAGGAGGCCCACAACCCGAAGAGAAGGTGCTGTGGGCTGAGTTGTCAGGGACATGTGGTGACCATGTGGCAGGACCCTGGAGTCCTGGCGCTACTTCTGCCTGTGAGGCCCTCTGTGGCTGCCCCTCCTTCCCCAGCTGCTAGGGGAGAGAGGTCTATCAGGCCCGGGGCCCCTCTCGAGGAGAGGGGACAGGGCCTATCCATCCCCTATGTGTATCCTGGAGGCATGAGCAGCAGCTGGGGCCCATCTTCAGGGCTTGACTCCTTCTGACCGGGCCTCCTACACCCCTTGCTGCTTTCACAACAAAGAAAGAATGTGGGGGTAGTGGCGGTGGGGGTGGAGGGTGCCTGGAACCAAGGCTGTGCTGGGCCTCCTGCAGCTGGAGACCTGGCCTTTCCTTGCCACAGCCCAGGCGCCTGGAGATGGACTTGGGCTGAATTTGCCAGTTAAGCAGCCTTCAGCTTAGTGTTCTGAGTGCTGTAGGTTTCTACATTGTTCTTCAGATTGGTCTCAAACCGAGGCCAACTCCAGCCATGGCCTCCTTCCCACTGGTGCGTCTGTTCTAGGGCTCCACGGTAGCTCCAGGTGACCCTATTTGGGGATAGGAAAAAACACTGCTGGTCTCGGTCTCCCTCAAGATTTTGAGTTCCTTCTCCCCACTTAGAGAATTCTGAGTGACCGTAACCGTGGGTCACAGACTCCAGGTAGGTCTAGAACTGACCACACACCCCAACAGCCCTGGAACCCCAAGAGTCACTGGTTGCCGACGAGGCGACCCACGCACAGCAAACTAATCCGCTCCCGGGCCCGCCTCCCTCCGTCCCAGTCCCGCTCCAGATCCCTCCCCCAGCCGCGAGCTCCTCCCCGCCACGCCGGGCAGGGGGCGTCGGGGGGCGGGGCGCCGTGCGGCCGCGGCGGGGAGGGGGCGTCGGGGGGCGGGGCCTGGCGTTGGCGGCCGCGGCGGCGCGCGAGGACTCTGAGGTGCTGGGCGCGCGCGGCTCCGGCTCCGGCTCCGGCTCGGGCTCGGGCTCAGGCTCCGGGTCTGGACGCCTTGTCTCAGCGCAGTCGGTCGTGCCCAGCCTCCCGGGCCACCGCAGAGTGAAGAGCGCGCGCCAGGTGTGCGCCCCCGCTGTGCCCAACCGACGCGATGGGACCCGCGGCCAGGCTGCCCCTGCTCGGCGTCCTGTTGCTCTCGGTGCTGGGCGGTGAGTGCTGGGGAACTGGCCGCGGCGGCAGAGCCCGGGGCGGGGCGCGTAGGGTCCTGGAGAAGGCGCGGGGCCGGGTATCGGGCCGGCGGGGTACCCAGACTTGGTCGGGTCTCTCGGGCGCGCATCGCCAGCTCTGGAATTGGCCTGGCCCAGCTCTGCCTGGCCTGAGAATTCGCTTGGAGCCGCTGGAGCCCCTGGAGTTGTGGGCTTCTGGCCCTGCTGGGGAGCTTCTGTGAGGGCAGAAAGGACTCCCCCCATCGGGGTGCATTTGGGTGGCCGAGGCAGGGACACGGGGTGCCACGCAGGCTCAGTCTAGGTGAGGGACCGCGTCCGGGGTCCCTCCCGCGGGATCCTGGGCAGAGCTGGGACCCCAGATGGCCCCGCTGGCGAGGGCGGAGGAGGGAAGAAAGGAGCTGCCCGAGCCCTGAGCCCTGAGCCCTGTGGATGCCAGGAGTGGAATCTGGGGAGCGGAGGTCCCAGGCTGTCGCGGTGACTAATGTGGAAGGGCCGCTGCCAAAATCGGGCATGGCCGGCCTGCCAAGGTGCGGACGGGGTTCCCTGAGTCTTCCTGGATTTCCATCCTGTGTCGGGGAGAAGAGGAAACCTGCCTTCCTCCGGCAGAAAAGGGAGAAGGGTCCATCCAGGGCTCCATGGTGGCCTCTGGTTCTCGACCAGGATGTGGCTCTCATCTGGGCCAGACAGGACACCGTCACCCAACCTCACCCCCCATTGACCCCCTCTAGTGGGGTATGGGGGGAGAGTCAGTCACACCTGAGACTCGCTAATCAGAAGTGAGGTGCTTTGCAGGAAGTTGCCAAGCTCCCCAAAGCCTGGACTGGAAATCCTGCCCCTCATTTTCCCAGTGATGAAGTCTTCCAGTGGGGGTCCTTGAAGCGGCTCTATCTTGGGAACCTCTCCCGAGGGGACTTGTCTTTTGAAGAGTGGTAGTGTCCTTTGAAATGTGGTAGTGTCCTTTGCAGAGGGGAGGACTAGAGAACTGTTTTTCTGACTTCTTCCTGGCCTGCCAGCTGTCGAAGGGTTACTGGGCTGGTAGGTAAAACCAATATCTCTTACCTCCTACTTGGAAAGCAGCAGAGAATATAACTAGGAAAGAAACTCCAGGATTCGCAGGAGATGTTTCTGGAGTGACCTTGTGTTTCTTGAGATGTGTGTGGTTGCTTAGTGCTCATGGCACAGTCCACATCTGCTCCCAGAGGAAGTATGGAAGTGGTTTTTTTTTTTTTTGGCACAGCCAGGATTGGGAGTCTGGCTCAGCCATTTGTGGGTGAGCAGCTGAGCTCTCAGGCTTCCTGGGTCACCTGGATGGGTTCTGGTGTGTGGTTTTTCCCAACCCTATAGGTAGAGCTGCTTGGCTGCTGCTGTTTGGAGTTGTGAAGTTCAGGGGAGATTCTGGTGGAGACTTGTTCAACAGATGCCTGATTCCTTCCATGAGAAGATGCCTCTGATGTTAATCGATGTTAATCCTGGGATGGATGCTGGTGGGCTGCAAGGGGAAAATCAGACAGGCAGAGGGATTGGGACAGGAGGTCTGGAATCTCCTCCAGGAGCAGAGGTTGTCTTGTGCTCAACAAAGGAACACTTTAATGAGAGCCTTAAATCAGTCCCACCAAATGTGCTTCACTGCGGAACCTGTCCTTGTGCTGTAAACACTTTCAGAGGAGGCTGAGGTGCCTGCTGTCTTGTAGTAAAACCCCAGATCTCTGTCCACCCCACATGGATGACTTCAAGAGGCGACGATTTTTTAATGAATCAGTGTAGATTTTTCCGTCTCATTGTTCAACCATGTGACTAACTGGAATTATAGTTAGATCTTACTGTTAGTAAGGCTGCAGTTAGGGACTTAGGCATCTAGACTGGCCAAGTTTGTGGATTGGACTATTTTGAAATTTGGGTAATTATACTGTAAATGACTGATTTACTTTCCAAACTTGGAGATTCCTGATGTGATAAATATGGTGATATAGGAGAAAGCTTGAGTTTTGAAACCTGGCATTCTTTTTCTTGGCAGGGTAAGGTACCAGGGACTGAACTCAGGACCTTAGGCTTGCCAGGCAGGCGCTTGTGCCACTGAGCTATATCCCTGGCTCTGAGACCTGGCATTCGTAATGCCAACCTAGCATGATTAGCTGTGGTCACTACGTATCCCTGCTTCTGTCCCCTCCCTGGGTTCTTGTTTCTTTGGGAAAATTGAGTTGTCACATTCTGGGATGTGCTGTCCCAGTTTTTCAAGACTCGGCAGACTGTAATTCAGGTGAGAGATTTGCTTTTATTGGTGATAGGCAGGATGACACACTGGCATGCCTTCCAGAGGATGTTGTCAGTTTGGCCCTTCTGTGCTGCAGCTGGTGGTAGACTTTTACTTGGCTAAGCCAGCCTGAATTGGCAGGCCCTGTGGCCTGGGCACGGGTTGACCTTTTTGGTTTGTTTCCCCTGTAAGGCGCTAACTTTTTGGAGCCCTGTTGGGTGCATCTGGGCATGTAACCTAGGCTCTCTCCCCACTTTTGTCCACCCTGGAAGCTGTCCTCTCTCTCTAGCCACACAACGGATACTTACAGGGCTTCTAGACTCCTAGTCATTCTTAGGACACTGTCCATATATTGCTGCGGATGGACCTTTCCCTAGAGAATTCAGTACAGCACCTTATATATAACAGGTGTGTCAGGGCTTTAGCTCAGTGTCACAGCACCTGCCTGGCAAGCGTGAGGTCCTGAGTTCAATGCCCAGTCCCCAAAACCAAAAACAAACCAAAACAAATAAACAGTGGGTCTTAGTCTATGTTCAGAATGAAAAGGGGACATGAACCTTTTAGGGGTAGAGCAGAGTAATCAAGGGCAAAGTTAAACATTCCCTTTGTGTCCTAGGCTTATGGAGTCTTTGTTGGTTTGTTGAGACAGGGTCTTGCCTTGTAAGACACTCTGGCCTTAAGCTTGCTGTGTTGCCCAGGCTGGCTTTGAACTCTTGATCCTTTAGCCTTAGCTTCCAGGTGTCGGGATTACAGGCTTCTTTCTGGCCACACCACACCTGATCCTGCATATGGAGTCTTTGGTGCCTTGTCCAGATTCCTTGGGGTGGGGCCTCCTGGTTTATCTTCTGGTGGCCTCACTATCACAACAGAGTGGGAGGCTCAGACCCTCCTCCTCTGTTTCTGGGCTGTCCATTCTTGGTGGCTTTTTTGGTTTTGAGACGGCAGAGCTTCCCTGTAGCCATCACCATATGTGAAGTTGACTTGTCTTGAAAGTTTGTAGCTAAAAGACTAGTGTTTCCGTTCTTTCTACTGTGAACTGTTTGGGGACTGAGATTTCTAATTTTGCTGCTCAATAGTCTGGGAACACTGACCATAGTGGCAGTCCGCTTGTTAACAAGCTCTCCAGGAGACTGTACCCCGAGCTCTGTAGGTCCCTGGCCTAGGCAACCTTCCTTACAGAAAAACTCATGGCATAGCGCTTTCTTGTGGCAGCAATGTCCATCGGGCTGTGTAGTGTT